GGTTAAAGGCGGGAAAAAAAAATGTCCACTCTCACACACGCCCCTACGCTCCCCCCGCTTTCTGAGCCAGGCAGACCAGTCACGCTGAATTAAACTGGGGCACAAATTTGAGTGGACACAAAGACGCTGAAAGCTACTTTAAAGACCGTGGCAAGTAGCTTTTTGAAAAATGCATCTTCACACAAGCTCAGTCAACAAACCACTGCACAACACAAACTTCTCAATCAAAACCAATAAAACAAGCCCCCGTCTGTTAAGGCGGAAAAATATAAAGATTGCATGCATTTAAAACTATTGCAGTTTCGAGTAAATAAATTACTTTGTAAAGCCAATTGAGTCAATGGATGGCCACTTGTTGCTGCCAAAGAACACTTTCGCCTGAATCTGCAAACATGTATAAGCAGGTCAAGGTCCCATGACAGAGAAGAGCTGTGTCAGTTAATCCTGCTCTGACGAAGGTCCAGCTTCTTCATTGTCCGAGGTCTCTTCTTCATCTTCTTCGTGGTCTGAGGTCTCTTCTTCCACCGAGTCACTATGACTGAAATCAGAGTCGGCATCATCCTCCTCATCATCATCTACCACATCAAGAGCAATATCCTGCAGTTCCTCCAGATTGTCTGGACTCTTCCCAGTCAGCCGCTAAAAAAAAAAAGACAAGATGCAATATGTCAAATTAACATAAAATACATTTGTTTTTTTAACTGAACCTCATCTCACTACAGAATGAAAACCCATTAATGTGGGCACCAGGGCAGTGTGAATAGGGCTTTAAATATACTGGATATTGTGATGGTTCCATTTGATTTAAGTATAAGGAAATTGAGGGTAAAACTTTTCAAAAAAGAACTTTAATATAAAACCAGTTTATGTACCAGTCAGAGAATCTCACCAAACATTACAGACTTCTAATAGGAGTATGCTTACCTCAATCATATCCGCCATGTACTGTACGTGCTGTGCCAGCGCCTGCAGCTCTCCATTTTCACACGTTAGCTGTGTTATCTGTTCCTCTTTGGCCTCAATGCATTTGTGCAGCTAAAGAAAATTTAAATAAAACCATTGAGCTTGGCATCATGCTTGAAATGGTTTTATTGTATGAGATACTGAGGCAACAATCCTGCAAAAACTCTAACTGTTTATTTGCATTATGGTGAAAACAACTTCAAAATCCACTGCCCGATGGACTGCAGCCAGCTCAGTTTGACTCAAGTCAGTGGGAGCGTGGGGAAAAAGTCAATTTCCAGCTAAACATTAGCCATCTCTCAGCGATTAACTCACCTTCTTATTCTCCTGTATGACAACCTGCAAGGCCTTCCGACGCTCCTCAGCTGTCTCTTTCCAGTAGTTGGAAGGAGGAGTTTCTGCAATGAGAGAAAAGTAAGAGCAGGATATAATGAGAATCATCTGTGGTCGATGCCACAATGTGATTAAATGAAGTGCATTGATTAAAAATACATACCGACGACCATAAGATCATATGCTTCACTGGTCATGCCATCTGTTGAACACTGAGTTTCTTCTGTTTGTGTAGATTTGACTTCTACCTTCACCCTCTTTGGACCTCTAGTTTGTTCTGAGCTCCACATTTTCCGTTTGGGAATGATATTTCCAACCTAAGAGAAAATAAGGTTTTCTTTATATGATTAAATGTTACAGGGAACAATTCAATAACCAAAAGGAAACTTCATTAACTTACATTGCCAGCTAAGGGTTGGAGGACCTGCAGTCTTTGCCTGGGAAGACCCATTGCCATCTGAGATGGTTTGAAAAAGCTCTGGATGACCAAAAAAAACAAACAGGTGTTACCTTACAGCTGATTAGATCAGACAGAATGGTTAACAAAGGGCAAGATCATAAACACTTCATGTGTTTAGGGAAATTCAATCGAGTCACACGGGAAAACAACATCACCCGTGTTCTCATTTTCAAAGCCTCCATTCACCATGGCTTAGCATAGCTTTACTTTAGTTTCACTGTCACCATGGGAGAGGGCATAACGGAGGTTGCCTATAACACTAACAACAGCTGCTGTCATGTGCAACAAAGGTGTTGAAACAGAGGCAGGGCAAAAGCCGTGGGAAAGTTCATCCTCAAGACTCATTAGCGAGCAGCCAACATGCTCACTCAGTTAATGTAGCAGCCAACATGCTCACTCAGTTAATGTTTGGCCACAGCCACAAAACACTGATGGGAGTCTCATGACAATAGTTTCTACTATGAGGGAGACAGTCTGAAACTACTCCGGGAGGTACAGACAAAAACTAATGGGCCAAGTTGCAGAAGCAAAGGAAACCAAGCCTTTGAAACCTTACATTTTATTGAATTAAAAAAAAAAATTATATATTGTAAGAGCCTGAGGGCATTACTTCTATTTACTCAGGGGGGTAAAAGGATCCCCTTTTTCTGATAAATTTGATCTCGAGGAGAACATTTCTGGTCACACAGATACTGAAATCTACCAGCTGAAAATTAGACATTCACATGTTTGAAGAGTTACCCCATTTGTACCCTACGCTTTACATTTCATAGATTTTTTAAGTAAAATCAAAACAGAACAAATGATTTGCTCACGTGTACATTCTCATCAGACTTGTGTTGGCTGTGTGTCATCTTTCCAGTGAAATTCATTTTCTTACAAGAGATCTGATGGGAAAACATGAACACGTCACTACACATGAAAACGTACAGGAAGTTACCCACATTGGAGTAACCTCCTAGCAAAACTGACCAAAACGGCTAATTACAAAACTAGAATGAACGTTTATAACTTAGTTAAGTAATAATTTAAACGCTGTATTTATTGTTCTTAGACTTTGTACATGTAATGTGACCTCGTTAGCTTGTTTAAAGACACGTTTTTAAAAAAATGTCGCCATCTCTAATGGAAAAGTAGTTGCAAAAAGGTCAACAAAGACGTTAAAAAACAATGTGATTCAAGAGAGCAACGCTAAGGAAACTAACGCGTTGCTGACAGAAACACTTAATACACGGTTGTTAAAAATATTACATTTAGGCACTATTGTAGTAGATCAATCGCCTTACCGTTGATAGGCAACACTGCGTCGTAGGTGGGGACTGCCTTTCTCTTCGCTGAGACTCCCGCGCCAGGGGCTTAAATAAGCCTACTCAGTCACGTGGTACAGCGTCACTCACGAGGAAGATTTTTTTCATGCTGTTGTTTTTGACATTTTTTATTCAAAATCATATCATGTATATCAAACATTATGTAGACACAAAACATTGACATCAGGGGTGAACAGGAACATTTAGATAAAATAAACAATATAAAGAATGAAATCGAAAGAACATTTTGTCCAAACAAAAGATAACATTTCAAGTAATGTATTTATCAAAATGCACCCAGTAAATCTGAAGCAAAAACAAATAGTACAAAGGCAACACAATTGGCACACAGGGAACACTTTGCAGCCAAAAATCAACAGTCAGGACAGTTAAAAGGAGCACCAAGGAGGAACATTTATTAACAATGTTTAGACTAGGACTCGAACAAAACACTACATTTAGTAAGTAAACATCCATCAGGATTATGTGAACACTGCCAGGTGGATGAATTAGTAGAACGTGTCATTCTGGATTGTGGCAAATACAGTCAATAAAGAGAAAGACAGAAATCAGGAAGCTTTAGTGGAACAACCGGATCTCAAAGAAAAATTAGTCTCTGGGTCAGGGAGACTATTATATCATTTAAGACACACAGAGTGAATACAAATAATGTAATTTTAATTGTATTATTTATTTTGTTTATTTGAGGGGGGTAGATCATTCTGGTCCCCACTCCAATACAGTAGGTGGCAGTAATGCACCTTTAACGCTGGTTGCCACCCGCCATACAAGCAGAAGAAGAAGAAGTAGTAATACAAAAAAAGTATAAGTAAAAATATATATATATAAAGAAATAAAGAGATATAAAAACCAAAGGTAACATTTCAAGTACAAATATTTATCAAATACACATTAGGTTTTCATTGCCTCCTTATTTTTTAATATGTTTTTAAAGTGGTGCCATATTGTGGTAATTCTAATTTTAAATGTGCACAATTTGATTTAGATTCAGTTCATTTGTTCTAGTGAATGTGAAATGTTCCCGAAATAAAAGCAGAAGTAGTGGTGGTGTTGTTTTCCCCCTGGTGTGGTCACATGTCAACACACGTCACATCTTTTGTAGTTGTCTGCGCAGCCATTTTGGGGGAGGCTGTGGATCGACGAGCTGCTTGTGCCATTATCAGCTGCCCAAAAAAAAAAACACACAAAGAAACCAAACGCAGAAACGTTGGACGACACGCCGTTAACGATGGGCCCGCCGGGAGACAGAAAAGGCCACATGTCGACTGAAAGAACGGAGGACTTCAGCTGGATTGTCGATTTATCTTGACATGGCATGCAGCAGGGCGAGTCGCAGGTTGTGACGACTGAAGAAAAGAAGAGAAAGAAAACGGCAAACACCTCGAAACTTCAGACGTGAAAACTTGGGGGAGATTTTGTTTAAGCTAACGTGTATTTCTCCACGCAGCGTTAGCCGTTGATTCTCCCGTTTTATTTTGGTCGATGAAGTTGTTGACAAGACACGACGACTAGCTAAAAAAAAATGCTGAGCTCAAGCAAAACCAGTTAGTCAGTTAACCCCGCAGGTCGCTTGACTTTCACAACACTGGCAGTCGCATTGAAGCTGGAGAGAAAATGTAAACGCGTAGAAAGATGACTGTACGCTAAGCTAGCCAAACCACACATAGGCCTCGATTAAGCCAATCAGTCAGAAGATAAGATGTAGCTTCATCGACGGTTCACTACTAGTTAGTGTTGGAAGTGAATGCCTAGATTAGCTTGCTAGCTCACCTTAGCTAGTGTGCTAAAAATACGCCCACATCATGACTCTCAGCAGTGGCAGCACCGCAGGCCGTGAGCTAAATGAGTGGCAGTAAAAAGTCAAGGAAATGTCAAGGCAGTAGTCTTCGATGTTACCCGGTGCCAATATCTCCTGGCATCTCTATTTACCTGCCATGTTAGTCTGTATCTTAAATCCGCCTGTAACACGCACATAACTCGACAGATAAACACACAAAAAAAAGATAGCCATGGATGAGGGACTTTGAAATGACCCAAATAGTAAAATATGTGTCCGCTTGCTAGTCTCTAGTCCTCAATTTCACTATCAAAAAAATATATTGTCAGTATGGGTTTTTACGGTAGCAGCCGTTTCTGTTGATTTCAGTTACCTACTCAGAAAAGTTGCTCTTTTATCTCGTTGGAATCCCTTGTCGATGGCAGGTTGAAAAATAGCTAATTTGGCTTTAAAAGTCATGTCTTAAAACATGGATTTCTGAACCAGTAATATGGAGATTTAGTCTTAGCTTGTTGACCATTCCCCTCCTCAACACTGCCCTTTTACAAAAATTAAAATGACTTAGTTTTGTTTCTGATTTGTCGACCTTCTCAGTTGGTAGTTAGTGGGTATTTTACAGATCTAGCCTAGAGTTGTTTGATGCGTTGTTTGTGCAAAGGGTAGCAAGCGCCATCCTTCATCCAGCGTATGAATACAAAAGTAGAGGGTGAAGCCAAAGTTTTCTGCAAAAGAGAAGGAACTACCATCAAAATCTAACCATGGGGGACCCAACTTCACGAAGAAATCATACAAGAAATCGACTAAGAGCTCAACTTCGGAAGAAAAGGGAATCTTTGGCTGATCAGTTTGACTTCAAGATTTATATAGCCTTCGTTTTCAAAGACAAGGTTTGTCAGTAAAATTGAGGAATAGCGTTATTCTTAACTCCATCTTAAATAACACACTTATTTTATTACTTATTTTATCATTACACATTTAAATGTTACATCCAGTGTGTTTTTATCTACGTTTCTCATCACAGAAGAAGAAGTCTGCGCTTTTTGAGGTAGCTGAAGTGGTGCCGGTTATGACCAACAACTATGAAGAAAACATCCTACGAGGTGTGCGAGATTCCAGCTACTCTCTCGAGAGTTCGATAGAACTCCTGCAAAAAGATGTTGTGCAACTGCACGCCCCCCGATACCAGTCAATGCGAAGGGTAAGTCAGTCCACCATCTGAGGAGGGTTTATCTTGAGTAAGAGAAAGACCTTTTGTGTTTTTAAATTGTTCTCTCTTCTCACAGGATGTGATAGGCTGCACACAGGAGATGGACTTCATCCTTTGGCCACGCAACGACATTGAGAAGATTGTGTGTCTGCTGTTCTCCAGATGGAAGGGGGCCGATGATGAACCCTTTCGGCCTGTTCAGGTCAGATCATCTCACATTACGTGGGCAGCACATTTTTGGAGCCTGGTCTTGCTTCTAATTATGGCTGCAATTTTTTATTTATGCAATTATTACATTACTTTATCAATTAGTATGCTGATTACTTTCTAAATGTATCGGTTGATTATTTAGTCAAATACATTTCAAATGACCGTGAAATAATTCATCACATTTTCCCGAGATCTTTTGAAAGAAGAAGCTTTCTAAAGCTAGGGGGGGAATTTTTTCAAGCAACAAATTAAAAATAATTGCCCTCTGTCAAAATACAGATTTTAAAGGTGACCTATCATGCAAAACGCACTTGTACGTCTTTTATACATGAATATGTGTCCCCGGTGTTCCAGGGAACTCACCAAGTGTCAGAAAACACAACCCTCTCTATTTTCCTCCATACCCAAATCTCTTAAAAAGGGGCTGCAACGGATCTGATACAGACTGATCCAGATTTGAACACTTCTATGACGTCACAGAAGTGGCGCTACGGCTATTGGGCCAACTCCACCAATCAGGAGGAGACAGCCACGGACATTGCCGTTCGAAAGCGCTGGAGACGCTGTAGTACATATGCCAGGCCTGTAGATGGTGCTGTTCTCACAGAATCAGCCCATGCAAAGACAGTGTTAAATTGAGCGAAATGAGGAATGGCTAAAATGCATGATCTGTTTGGTATTTTGAAAAATAAAAAGTATGCCTTATATAGGTATGGTCCTACACTATATTATTCAAATATAGCATGATAGGTCCACTTTAAGTTATACAAGTTATAACATTTAGCTGTTTTTTGGATTAAATTTAAAATGTAGTTGTAATCACTTCATTTTCACAATGTACATATTTCACAAATAGATACCCTTTTAATAATTAATTAAGTGAATGGCCCTAGTCTGGATGTAACAGAATGTACGTCTTGGCTCACAAGTCTCCTACAATTTACAGGCCAAGTTTGAATTTCATCATGGAGACTACGAGAAGCAGTGCCTGCATGCTTTGGGTCGTAAAGACAAGGCTGGAATGGTCATGAACAACCCAACTCAGTCTGTGTTTCTCTTCATGGATAGACAGCACTTACAGGTGAGTCAGGCCTCTGAAATGATAATGTTACTGATCTGACAAACCTAAACCTCAGACAGCGTCCTAACACACACACCACAAATGTTCTCTGTCCACCTCTCCTGCAGACTCCTAAAACCAAGGCCACAGTATTCAAGCTGTGCAGCCTCTGCCTATACTTGCCCCAGGACCAGCTGACCTGCTGGGGTGTGGGAGACATCGAGGATCACCTCCGCCCATACATGCCTGACTAAGGCTTCCTGCTTCACCCAGCCTCATAGGGAAAAGCCCTTCATTTCTCTCCTGCCTAAACCTTCAGAAGCAAATAGATGTACTCATCTCCACCCGTTTCTTTTAAAAGATTTGAACTTGTGCTTGGATCTCTCCTTTTTTTGTTACCTACTTGTTCTCCCCTCCCTGACCAGAAGCTGGTTCGATTCCCACCCTTGTTTTTTCTCACACCCCAAATGTTCCTCCTCTTCTCTCTGCCATTTTTTTGGATTGGTTTCTCCATTTTTTTTAATTTTTTTTTTTCCTTTACTCCCTTTTCATTCCCTCCTACTCACTCATCCATTTTTTTTCATTTGAACCTGCACGAACATTGATTTTGAGTGGTTGGTTGTTCTCTTGGAGCCGCTCTGTCAACAGCACCGGTCATTGAAGGAACTCTTTATGTTGCATCAAAACAGGAACAAACAATACACAGGTCTTCACGGTGGTTCTCAGATGGACGTGTTTGATATCCTTGTTGTCATAAAAAAGGATTGTTAAAGCTTGTTTGTAATGTCAATGGGGTTTCTAGAACAACTTGACACAATCTTTTGACCAAGGACAGGTGTGAAAAGGTGTTAAAACACCCGTATAAGCAAAGATGAACAATATTTGTCAAATCATATGGTGTAGGTATTGCTTCTTAAAAACCGCCTTAGTTTTTTTGCTGGACTTTTAAAAATTGTTTTGGTGTCATTTGCTTTCCTCTGAAACATGCTAGGCAGGCCTTTGTTAAAATCTTGAGTGACCTGAAAGGCATTGTACACAAGTTGGTTAAATGTTGAAGGTCATTGTCAAGCCGTTCATGCACCATTAATTTAAGCTACTGAAATCTGATGTTATGTTTTGTTTTATTTGGGATGTGGGTTGGTGACGAACTGAAATTGTGACATAGTTAATGTTTAACTTGCCTAACAAAAGTTGCTGGAAGCTAAAAGATTTATTTGTTTAATTTGACCTACTAAAATGAATATAATTAGCTACAATGCTCATTAAATTAAAATTAGATTTTGCTGGCTTGCTTGTTAAAGAATATGAGGTTCATAGTACATATAATTTTGCTCCTTGTTGATTCAGTGTGTTCAGTTGAAAGGGTATAAGGCGTGTAACTTCTGGGTTTTTTCTGTTGATTCTCAAATCAATACTGCTGAGCATATCCCAATACAATGCAAATTCTGAAAGCATAACTCTTGTCTATTTCTTTTATTGCATGTGCATGAAACATTGATACAGTGTTTCCATTAGGAGTGAATCTGACCATACAGTACTGTTGACGAAATATGTGTCACAACATGAATTAAGTTAACAGCTGAGAAGGATTTGTTGACAACATTGTTTTCACAGTCAGAGGTTAGTTAACATCTTGTCAACTTGTTTTAACCATACAGTTACATGATACGTGATTTACAGACAGGCACATTGGAGCGAGTTCAGCTGCCGCCAAGGTGTTTAGTGTGTCGGCCTTGCGCGATGACCTTCCCGGAGGCTTTGCTGGTGAGGTCTACTGTGGCGAACGCCAGGGTCCGTCCTTGCTTTAGAACCTGAGCAGTGATGAGTACGTCCTCTCCTATCTTGGCAGCATTCATGTATCTGTAAGACATTGACATTTGTTCCCAGTCATTTTTAGTTTACAAGCTTAATCTTTAATCTATGACCTGGTTAACACACTGAAGATCGAGGTCTGACATTACAGCTGAAGGCACTGCTGAATACACAGATCACGCTCTCTATATTTTTCTGGGGCATTCAGGGTTTTTAAGGCACTAAACCTATTATTATGCCTGATATTATTAAACCTTAGTGAGTAACCTGAAATCAAAATTAAAGAGTTATTTGGAGGATATAAAAATAAGACTGCATACAGTTTAAATGTTGTGACCACATAGGTCCATATAAGTCAAACGTTTAAGAATAGCACATTTAAGTGTTTAACAGCCACACATGTCAAATAAATTCAAAGAAAAACTGAAGATACAAAGCAAAAAACAAACACATCAGTAAAACAATTGCAGGACGTGATATCAAAATGTCAATCTCAAATCAATCAAATGCCAACAAGAGAGGTCTGCATCGAGGGTTCATTGCACACATTTTATAAAACAAGCATGATATGAAGTAAAAACTCTACAATCAATGTTATCTATTAAGTGATCTATTTCACAGGTAAATCTACAGGTGATACATCTTAAGAAGTAGACTGGAGGACTCACGTTATGTTCATATCCACACTGACTCCTGGTGATCCCCTCTCACTGTACATGATGGCCATGGTGGAGATAACATCCACCAGGGTGGCTGTCAGTCCGCCGTGCAGCGTCCCTCCTCGGTTGGTGTGCTCTTCCTCTACCCGCAAACCACACACCACCTTACCTGGGCTTGCAGACAAAACGTCCACCTGATGGAAACACAAATATAAAAGTTTCCTGTCAAGATGCAACAATGTTGATGATCACGATAGGTTGTGTTTAAAAGAAAAATATCGAGGTGTCACAGTCACAGAACTCTTAAAATATTCAGAAATGTAGCATAATATGCACGTTCACCTTGCTCAGGACTCTGTCAAAGCCTGGATTGTCTACCATTGCTCTCATGATTTGTTTTAACGTATTTAAGGACAGAGAAGCCATATTTAACGCGAGTATGAGACCAATGTCAAAGTTGTGTTTTTACTTCAAACCGGAAGCTGTTGCGTCTGATAGATCGTCCGGGCGGAATTAAAGTTAATATGTCAGAGAACGTTTGCTTAAACAAGCAAGTGGCACCGAGATTATAACAACACCCTGTTGTGTTAATTCCACACCGAAGATAAACTGTACTTTTGTATCTTACTTTTATAATACAAAGAAGAGTTGTACTCTGGGATTTGTTGTAAACTACTTGGCACATTCACATTCCGGAAGACTTTAACAGGTACACCTGAGATAACTTGCAGAGGAAAACAAAACCTTCGGAAAACATTAACTTATGTCCGCAATAGTTGCTATAAAAAATGGCCTCAACATCTGCCTCGGAAAAACCCTCAGTTTCTAATGTGGAAGAAAACAGAAGTCGCCTGTGCAGTGAGTTTGCGGCCATTACAGGAGCTGATAGCGCGGTGGCTCAGTGCTACCTGGTGGAAAATGAGTGGGAGATGCAGGTACAGTAGCTATAACAACTTGCTACATCAACCTGCTGTGGTTCTGCTTGCTACAGATGGTGGCAACATTTTTAGTTTAAATCTAACCTCAGTGCAGTTTATTTGACTGTAGCTAATTTTTTAATGCTAGGTAAATGCTAACCAATGTTTCTACATTATAATGCTTTGCATGGTATGAACATGTGAAATGGAAATGTCTTAACTGTTGTCTTACAGAAAGCTATGAACTCATTCTTTGAGGCTGATTTGGAGAACGTATTTGAAGAAGACATGTCAGAAGACAGTGAGAGCAGCTCCAAAAGAAAGAGACAGAAAATGGAGGAAAAACCTCCAGCAGAATGGTTAGTCTCCTGTCTTCTCTCCAGGCATTAGCCGCTTTCACAGTACTGTCACCGTTCGTGTAGCACGACGCTGAAGTTAGCTTCCGATTCAGAGCTTCCGATTCGGCAGTTAAGGGGGAAATTAAGGGACATTTAATTTACAGCGCTGAGCGAACAATCCTCCGTGTTTGTAGGCCTACCTCTTAAATCGCTGCATAGCCGATTTATTTGGTCTAGATTATCCCAGAGAGGCATTCTTTATAACACAGTTTTAGATTTGTAAACCTTTATTCTATATGTGAAAATACAAAAAAGGGAGATTTCGCTGCTTTTTTCGCATCTTGACCACATTAGACCAGGTCCTGATCTAAAACCACTATACCTAAACTCATCAAATCTGGATTATCCCAGAGAGGCTCAACATTCTTTATAACACAGTTTTAGATTTGTGAAACCATAATTCTATTTGTGAAAATGCAACTGAGGGAAATTTGATTTTTCAACATTTGTATTGAGAAAGTCACTGCAGAAGTCCTCTCTCCATTTCATTTCACGTCTGCATTATCATGTCTTCTTTTTCACTTTGAAACAACAATTTCAAGAGTGCATTACCATGGTAATGCTTGCTTGAAATTGTTGTTTCAAAAGAAAACGACTGTTTTTCTTTTACTTTTCCTCTAACTGGCCACACTCAATCTCTCCTAGTGCTTCTGCCAGTTGCATACCTCCGACTTTATCCAGAGCTGTTATTGTGGCCTGTGTTAGAAGAACCATAATTCAGCCATTAGTGTGCTTGTTCTTCATTTGAGCTATATACTAAGACATTTTCATAAAAAGCTTTCTGTCAATTCTTTGTCTCATTTATCAACATATAAATAATTTTCATTTATCTGCCACTAACACCTGCCATAATTTCAGACCCTGCTCTTCCTCTCCTTCCCACCATTTGCCCTCATCGTGTTCCTACCTTTGCATTCCCCTGACCTCCCAACTGCCTGCACACATGATCCCCATTACCCCATTATCCATAGAGTTGATACTGTAGACCTGCACAGCAGCCCAGTCATTTGCCATACTGTGTATCATGTCTCCTGATTACAATTGTGATTTTAAACTATCCTATTTTTTTTAATCCTGCATGAACCACTTTCATGTGCAACCTTTTATGTTGTGTTTGATGAGTCTAGTTATAGTGGCTTTGCCTTTAGATCAGGACCAGGTCTAATGTGGTCTAGATGCGAAAGAAGCAGCAAAATCTCCTGAGTTGCTCCTGACTGGGCTGCTGTGCAGGTCTAACACAGGCCACAATAACAGCTCTGGATAAAGTCAGAGGTATGCAACTGGCAGAAGCACTAGGAGAGATCGAGTGTGGCCAGTTAGAGGAAAAGTGAAAGAAAAACAGTAGTTTTCTTTTGAAACAACAATTTCAAGAGTGCATTACCATGTTAACAACTATTGTTGTCCTACTTTTGAAGTGAAAAAGAAGACATCATAATGCAGACGAGAAATGTAATTGAGAGACGTGGACTTCTGCAATGACTTTCTCAATACAAATGTTGAAAAATCTAATTTCCCTCAGTTGCATTTTCACAAATAGAATAAATGTTTCACAAATCCAAAACTGTGTTATAAAGAATGTTTAGACTCTCTTGGATAATCTAGTCCAAAGAAATAGGCTATGCAGCGATTTAAGAGGTACAAACACAAATTATTGTTTGCTCAGCGCTGTAAATAAAATGTCCCTTAACTTTCCCCCTAACTAAAATGGTAATTCATGCTAATAATAATTATGCTGATTGTGCAAATTGACCAATTATGCAAGTTAGCATCTGGCAGTTTCTGTGTTTCATGTTCTGTGAACCCAAACTATACATTTCTAAAATAACACTTTGGTGTTCTCAACATTTCCAGATTCACAATAGGACTCCAATAGCTGGCAACTTCTAACCTTCAGAGTAGATGAAAAACCCGGGAAGTGGTTTGAAGCAGATTATAACCAAATGTAGAAAAGGAGTAAATGCTTCGCCTCTGTCAAATCTGGGAAACAATAGTATGGGAAAAGAGGGGGAAAAATAAGCAAGGTGTGAGAAAGTCCCCTGTTTTTCATACGAGACAGAATGGAAATAATTTGTCATTTGAAAAAGAAACATAAATACTAAAAGCGAGATTTAGGGTGGCTAAGTTTCACCTGATAAACTCCTCCAAGCAGCTTTAAGGGTCAAAGCTAATCCAAGATTTGTTTAAAAATATGTTCCAACCTTTGATTATTCGTAAGATGAAGGTATTTTATAATTACATAAAGTGGGAATATAGAAATATTCAGTATTACCTAAATAACCATATATTGTGTGTGATATTTACTGTATGATGTGTCTACTGTTTTACAGAGATCAGTGCTGGGACTGTGTTTGTGCTGAAGGGAGAGGATGTGCTTCTGAATGTCACGAATGCTGATGTTCTTCAGGATGTTTTTAGTTTTTCATGGAAATTTAATGAAAAAAAAAATGTATTAACAGTTAACTCTGGCAACAAACCAAATGTATTTCCTGATTATGCTGGAAGGGTTGAGTTTTCTGTGAACAATTTCTCTGTGAAATTGAAGAATCTCCAAGAGGCAGACAGTGGAGTTTATACTGCTGTAGTGATAAAGCATTCAGGAGACGTAACAGAAGCAGCTAAATACAATATTAAAGTTCAAGGTAGGTTTGTTAACCTCTCAAACTCTGATAGAGTTTCTGTGGTCTTGTTTCTAAAACTCTTCCCCTGCTTCTTCCCTCCTCAGATCGAGCGTCTCTCCCTCTCCTCACAGTGAGCTCTGTCTCTGAAAGCTCTTCCTCCTGTAGCTTCACTGTGACCTGCAGCTCACAGGACTCTCACATCAACAGCACTTTCACATGTGACACCAGAACCTGCAGTCAGGAGGGAGGAGAGCGGTCAGAGGGGATCCCTGATACTTTTCTCCAGGTCTACCAATCAAGTGGATCGATCATCTGTAACCATAGCAACCATGTCAGCTGGACCAACGACACCAAAACAATCAAAGACGTCTGCCACCAGCTTGATGGTAAGAGAAATCACTTCCTGATAATAACATACCATTTAAAGTTTAACAAACCTTCTTTGTGAATTAATAACCCACTCTGTCAGGCTGCAGGTGTTACATGTGAACTTAAAACTTCAAAAAATTAATTTGAAGAAACTTTAAATAAAACAATTAATTCAGTACATCAGTACATCATGTGTTACGCATATAATGTGCATTTTGTGTCATATACAGAACCTGAAACCTTTTCACTTGAATATTTGTATAAGTACAAAAATGCCTGCATATTTGAAGAACAGAATAAATATTAATTCAACATTAAACCGCCAAAATGCTGTTTTACGTTGCATCATGTATATCGACAGTCTGTAAAACTCAACTGTACTTTGCAGTGCTTGTATTTCACAATGTAGGACTCAAAGTACTTGCAAACTGTAAAGTAGTCAAACTGCTATCCAAATAAAGAAGTAATACCTGATTTGCTGCTTCCACTCAGTTGTGCGTCTCAGTCTGGATCTCTGTGTCGGTTTTGATATGAAACTCTCTGTTTGTTGTGTTTCAGATCCAGAGGGGTTATCTGTGTGCCTGGTGAAGACGTGTGTGTTCTCTGTGGGTCTGATCATCATGGTGTCTGCTGTCATCACGGTTCATCTCATGGAGAAGCTCAACAAGAACAAATAAACTCATAGTTCTGGTTCCCAACCGGGGGTAGGGGGACCCCTAGGGGTAGTTGGGGGGATTGCAGGAGGTACGTAGAAAGATTAGGGGTTGCACATTATGTACACAAAAAAACCCATTTCCAAATCAATTTTCATAATCCTGGTGTCCCGCCTCCAGACTTGTTGCAGTTTATGAAAGACAGGCGAGCTCAAGTGTCTCTTTAAGAGCTCTAGTCTTAACAAAAGATGTTGAAACTGCTAGAAGTGAGTCTTCATTTTATTACGTTCGCTCACAATATGTGTAAATGTCAAGTTTAAATGCATTTATATTAAGGGTGAGTTATAGAGTTACAAAAAGAAAATCTAGGTGAATCATCCCAGCTGAGTGACGGGGTACCTACTAAATATAATAACAGTATAGAATGGCGACCAGCTCAAAGTCTGGAACCAATGCTACATGCAACCAATCTTACATAAATAGTATCTCACTCTTTTATAGAAACACTTAGAAAAGTGGGTTTTTTGACGAGTGAGTCCCTGTTTTATTTGTGCATGCAGAAGGCCTTATGGGTACAACATGTCTGCTGCTGATTTGATGATATTTCACTGATCCACAATTGGTGGATCAGCAAACATGAATATGAATATGTACACTTACAATGTACTGTACATGTGTACTGACAATGGCTAGCACATCGTGATGTAAAAATTGATGCTCTGCAAGGAAAACACAGAAGGTAGCTTTCAAGAAAATGCTGAATGTTCTTGTTAATCCAATGATTATATCAAGTCATTGTTAAAAAAAATGTGTTGGATTCAGATTACGGGGATTTTCTAAAAACACAAATAACATCTTTATTTGTATGATCACGATTTAAAAGATTTGTTTTGTTTTTCTTTGTGCAGTGTGTTTTATTCTTATTTACATTTTTGAATGAAAGCATACATGCGCCATTTAATAAAACTGTTGTATTCCTATATTGTTCGTTATCTATTATGTGTTCATGCAAATGGAAAATTACTCACACATATGTTTTTGTTTTTTTGAGACAATGTATTCCTTTACATTTACTAATGACCTAACCATCAGTAACTACTGTAAGTATCTGATATTTATATAACCTAAACAAATTACTTTCCATTACTTTTGGGACAAATCAATATCAATGCAATGCAAATAAATACAATAAGGCTTTTACTTAGTGTTAAATGTAACCTTAGAAGAAAATAAAATAAATATTGTTCATCAAAAATATACTAAGAGATCATTTTAATAAAATCTGCTCCTTTTACATAAAACAGAATATGCTTTTTTCAATAAATAGCATCTCGTAAAAATGCAATTAAAAAGTCAAACTATAGCATATCTACAACATGTCCTTATATAATAGAATAGTATAGAATGCCATAATAAGTTAGACCCTCCAGAAAAACGCGGGCAAAATTCCTTGATTATGCGATTAAACATAAGGGGTTTTTATGTGATTTTATGCGGTGAAATTGCGGGAAGTTGCAAAATATGCGGAAAGTTGCGAAATATGCAAAATATGCGGGGAAAAAGAATAACAATTTTTTTAAATATTGGGCTGTCTTATTTATTCTCTCTCACACACAACCTGCCACTACGTTAAACCCTTAACTATTCATTAAACTACATTCAATGTTTATTTATTGTAAAAGACAATTGGCTATTTTAATCTCACCCCACCCCCACCACACACACACGTCACACACACTTCTCCGCCTCATTCCGTTTTCATTTACTCGTTCGTTATCTGACCAGCTTCAATCTTGTAGGCTACTCACTTCGTTTCTTGTAGCCTTCGAAAGGTTTTTGGAGGTTGATGCCTCGCTGAACGTGAGTTGTTCGGCTTTCTTGTCCGCAGCAGCAGAAAGCATTTTCGAATGTTTGAATGAATCAAAGTGGGTCGTCCCCGTCGATTTTCTCTTATGCTCCAACACACAGTTGCACGGGGTGCAGAATAGTTTCCCCCCACTTTTTGCCCGGTCTTTAGTAGAAATGTTCGTCGGTAAATGAGCTCTATACAGTGTTGTTTACATTCTGTGATGCGCGAGCTGATGACGTCACGTCAAGACGAGTCAACTTTTTTTT